TGTAGAGATTAATGTAACTTCAGGATACATTCTTTCTTTCCTCTGTGGCTTATTAGCATTTCAGTTCTCAGTGGCTTCACCGAGTTCATCTCTGTTAGTAGACTGCATTAGATTCTCAATCAAGTTTCATTAAATTAAATAAGCTGCTACCTGGTTGTTTAATATTCAAAACAAAAACAAAAACAAAAACAAAACTGTTTAAGTGGACAGGTATTCATAGGAGAAAATATATATGAGTATTTCTGTACTCACACAACATACTCACCTGTCAAGAGCAATTAATGAAAATATGAATAGGAAAAAAAAAAACCTGTGTATTTACTATTTTATATGGGGCTTGATACTAGAACTGGAATAAACAAATGTACTTGAAAGGACATAATTTCATCTAAAATCAATTCTGTAGTATATTTCTCCATTTTACAGCAGTAAAAATTACCAGCAACCTTGTTGTATCCAAAGTTACTGCTTCTATATTGTTTGGCAAATGATTATATTAACACAACGTCCATGTATTTTAAATTTCTATATGAACAAGACTCTTTTAATATTTCAGACTTGCAAAATCAAGAACCTTGATTTGCAGAAGTCCAAACCTGCAGTACTGCAACAGCAAGGACTATTAAAATGCAATGCAAATTCCACTGTAAACACTACACATTTCGAGCCGGAGGAAGCAGTTATATGAGAGGCTAAAAACAAAACACAAGTACCTTCAAAATTATACCATGTTGCAGCAGACAACACAAGTTCTTCTACCAAAAATCTGTTTTCCTTGCAAGTCTAAGGTGAAAAGGTTCAAAACCTTGAATTTCACTTTATAATTTCTATTGCTGTGTTAAGGCAACTCTAGTAAGTTCTAATATTAAAAGTTACCATTCTCTTTTCAGTGTAGTTGTTGTACAACATGAACCAATTTGGAACAGTGAACTCTGAACTAAAATTTGCAAATGATGAGAACAGTGAAAAGAAGTCCTAACATCCTTCACCTGTGCCATCAGTGATTTCCAGGACTGAACTAACAGATAAAAAGCCTGCGTAGCCTCCTGACTTTTCATCACTTCAAGTATGACTGAATCATGGCACATACTGGTTAATTACTGCTTATGCAGACAGACGTATGTAAAAAAACGTGTTTTCTCTGTAAACATATGCATACATCTCTTTGTATAGAATGCATGTAACATGAAATTAAAAGAAAGCAAAAGTAGTTGGAACATCTAATTATTACCTCTTTTATATAGTGTCCTTTTTTTTCCAGACACCAAAACCTCAGAAAAGAAGCCACTCCATATGGCTTAAACCCATATACTCATCTAAATATGAACTAAAATGCTGTGAAGCAATAAGGTAATAATCTTTCATGAGCACTTAAATGCTATCTTTTTGACATAAGTAAGTCCTTACATTCCATGTAATTTTATGTGTCTGCAAAAAAGAAAGAAAAGAAAAAATGGGACTATAAATTACAAAAATATGCACCATATATGACTCAACTTAAAGAGCAAGTCAACTATGGCATCCTCCTCTTACAACTACTGTATTTAACAAAGGGTAGGGAGACGAGTGATCCTATGGGATCAGCTCAGAGCCAGCTTTAAGCACAAAAGTTATGTCACTTACACATCCAAGTGATATAAAACACCACACATCTAGCCCAAGAAAGTAAAGCCCAGTTGAAATCCCCATTAACAAAGCATTTGCTAAATGATCAGACAAACCGGTTGTCAAGGAAAACAAGGAAGACAAACTCCCATTTGCACCACTGACTGACATGGCGTTACTAAGCACTCACAGCTGTCTTGAGACCCAGCTTTCAGCTTAGGAGCTGCATTACCTTTAATGTACAGAATTTTGATTTAATAGGTGACTAGACTGGCAGCGTCACTTGAGAACTGGTTTCATAGATATGTCTCATAAAGAACATGAAATGATTCTCAGTGCACCTATTTACTGCTTGGTAACTATTCATGAAAAATAGCATGTCATGATGTACACCTAACTTACAGAAATACCAGAAGAAAATACATCTGATGTACAAAATGTTCTTCATCTCAATGAAATACAGTTTAAAAAAAAAAAAATCTTGAAGATATGCTACAAGATGCTTTAAAGCCATGCTATTAAAATTTGTATGTTATGAATTTTTCATTCCCATTAGCATCACTTGCTAATTCTGAACCTAATACATCCTCCAACATGACACTAGTTTGCACACCACTTCTCTTAAAGCTAATATACTGGCCTTCAAACAAATCAAAACCTGCTTTAGTGTAACAGTGTTGGGTGAGTAGCACCAACTTCTAAATAGTTCATAATTTATCATTTAAATTGAAGGAGGGGATCATGCCATAACAACATGGCATAAAAGACCAACTCCCAAACCCTGGCCAATCACCAGAAAACTTGAGAGAAATCAGTGCTCGCAAAAAGCTTTCATAAAATATAGTCCTAAGTATCCTATAATCCTAAAGTATCCTAAGGAGGGATAAAGTGAAGAGACGCTACACAGGAGCATATCTTCTCTGACCTCTTGATGGGAGTTTTACTAAGGTTATCTACTTTATCAGGTCCTGACTGCGTCTGGGATAAGAGTTAATTTTGTTCACAGTAGCTAGTAATGTGCTAGCGGATTTAGGAGAAAAAGAATGCTGGTAACACACTGATACTTTAGTTGTGGCTGAGCAGTGTTGCACAGAGCAAAGAACACTTCACCTTTTCACACTGCTCTGCCAGCAAGGAGCTGGAGGGGCATAAGGAGCTGGGAGGGGACTGACCTGGGGCAGCTGACCCAAACAGGCAAAAGAAGTTTCCCATAACCTATCATATCATGCTCAACTGTAAAACTGGTTCAAAGAAGGAGTAATTGGGACAGATGGTGTGGAAGTGTTTGCCTTCCCAACTAACAGCTATGTGCAGTGAGCTCTGCTGTTCTGGAAGTGGCTGAACACCTCGTCTGCCGATGGGACATAGTGCATGAATTCCTTGTTTTGTCTTGCCTTCACACAAAGCTTTTGCTTTACCTACAAAACTGTACTTATTTCAACCCACAAGTTCTTGCACTTTTTTTTACCTTTTCCATTCTCTTCCCTAATGCTGGTACGGATGAGTGAGTGGGCAGCTGCACAGTGCTAAGCTGGTAAATGGGATAAACCATTACACCGTCAAATAAAAAACTGCTTTCTCACCACCTTTTGATTTTTGGAAAGGCTGTCCTGAGATATGTAACACTCCTGTAAGCCACAGGTAATTAGCTCTTCAGTCTACAGGTAAACATCCAACAAAACTGCCAGACTAGCTAAGAGTGATGACTGAATCATCTGACTGATAATCTGGTCTCTTAAAACACAAGTGACACTAGCTGCAAAATGGAGAGAACATTAGCTCAGCTTTTAATGAAAATTTAAGTGTTTTCTATTCTGGTATAAAACAATACTGTATGATTGTCAATTCTGAGCATGAGGCAGTGGCACCAGTAACTCAATTGTTAGCATAATAACACATTTACTAACATCAAGTAGTCTTTTCTCTTACCCCTACGCAAAGGAGTTTTCACATAGAACACAGAAATGTTAAAAGAAAGAAAGACAGTTGAGTGAAACTGATCTTACAGTACAAGAAAGCAAAGAATGGATTACTTCTTTTCCTTAAAATGGTGTTCAAAATTTATTCTTTCAGTTTGCCTTTAGAAATCTGAGTTTCACTTCTGTAAAACACTAAGACAAGAACTAATGCTATGTTGAGAGTAAAATTTTCAAAACAAGTCTCATTTTAGTGTGTTCTTTGGTAAAGTTAGGTACCAATGGGGAAAAAAAAGGGGGGTAATTTGATCTTAGGGTTTTGTTTTTAATTTCTGCAGAAAACTAGATTAAAATGACCTCAGCTAAGGCTAGTGGAATAACAAAATAGTTGACAGTTCTCCCAGCTTTTGTTTTCAGTGACTGACTCCTTTACTTCAGCAAAATTATTTCTGTGCTTTTTATAAGTGTGGCTGCAAGGCTCTTGATCTTTCACTATAAGCACTGAATTTTCAAGCATTCACATGAAGTAAACATTTTGCTTTAGTAGTAGTGGGGGTACTAGTAGTGGTAGAGCAGAGAGACAGAGAATGCAAACAGAAAGAAGCTGTTATGGGTTTCCTGAAAGTTCTGTGTGCTGCTGAAATTTTATTTGGCCAAAAGATGAAAGTTGCCATTGATGAAGATATTGCACTAAGAAGTGGCTCCAACCAGTCTGACAAAAGCTAAGTGCAGAAAAGAGTAAAAATTGTACACAAGTAATGAATGTGTTTTTAATGATTTAACTTCTGAATTTAAGTAACAGAAAGTAAGTATTAAAATATTCCTATAATACTCTATAAAAAATACCTAAGAACAAAAGATGAAAACAGGTTGTTTGAGTAAACAAGTGAGCTTTGACCTAATACTGCAACCTGTCTCATCTTCTGCTATACGGTCAAAAAAAGTAAAATTTTACTGTCTCTTATGGCATAATGCTATAATCTGTTTAAAAAAAAAAAAAAAAAAAAAAAAAAAGAAGACCTACTGCCACTTCTAACTAATTCTAATTCCTGGCATTTCACACGAATAATACCATCATTTAGGAAATAAAGCACCTTTGCAAGTTTTTGAATTTTGAAGTAAAACTAGAGCTAACATCTTCACTTGCAATATGCAAAGGAGAGGATTATATTATAAACCAGTTTTTTTTTTCCTTTTTACAAATATAGTTTTACTTATGTGCAGGAGCACAGAGAGAAGAAAGACTTCAAAATTGTAAGTAACCGTAATTATAAAAGCTCTGCACCTTTTGTACTGCAAGCCAGCCATAAAAATCACTCAGTTATTTCAAATAATATATACAAAAATACAACAAGCGAGAGCAGTGAAATTTACTCTTGCAACAAAGCCAGTAAGGAACATGATGTGAAAACATATATTTATGAGACACACTAGACAGAAAGCATGAGTTATTAAAGAGAAATGGAATGGGACACTTACACAGTGGCTCTCTCTCAGGGGGTCCTGATGGTTACTATTTTCTTAAACCATCTAGACAGAATAGCAGGCTGGGAAGAAGGGAGCCACATACAATCCACCAGATGACAATGCTACACAGTGTAGACACCAGCATAGCTAGGAGCCATCTAAAAAAGGGGTTGGAGGGGGAGGAAAAGATGAACAAAAATTCGAAAGCAAAAGCTATTGCTGCATTTTAGCTTGTTTCAAGTTCTTCATAAAGCATATTGCTCCATAATCTTAGTCAAGCATGTTTTTACTTTCCATATCAATCCATGTAACTGTAACTTGTCAAATGTATCTATGTGTTACAGGAAGCAGAACAAAATTTCTTGAAATCCTCACTGAAGTAATCTCTTCCAAAGAAGGTTGTTGTCAGTATTTCAAAAATAAATGCATTCTAGACCATTTGTAGCCATCTCTTATGCACTTTGAACAGCCTATACCAATAGATCTTACTTCACAACCATATGTTTTGATACGAAAATACTAGACCAGAGTCAGATCACTTTCTAGCAACTATTTATGTGAACACTCAAGACAGCAAGGGCGCGTTACTTCCTGCATTCAAAAATGCCAAAGCTAACTGATATTCTCTTTGCCAAAGGTATACCGTATTGCTCATTGGAATATACACAAAGCATCCATTCACAAAATCACATAAAGGTCATACAGTCATCTTCAAAAGGCTATACAGAAACCCCTTGTGACTCAAAGTAATGCTTCCAGCCCTCAAAAGACTGTAATCCTCTTGACTTCTGGTGCTCTTATTTTGCTTGCATTTTTTGTTGTAGTAGTTCTCTCTAGAGTTTCTCTCTGAAATAAAACTACATAGAGGATTTAGAAATTTCTTTTTGTTTGTTCAGACAAAATCAATTTCTCAGCAGCATTAACTACATTTTAAGATTCTGAACCAAAACAGAAAAAGGCTGAGAGCTGTTTAGGTATGGTAACTAATTCTGGTAAGGCAGCTAAACATCCCTACTGGTATTTTGGCTTAATAACAGTAACACTCTGTCATCACATTATCTCAGTACAAGCTGCATAAAATCATCTCCTGTAAGAAACAGTAAAAAGGAAATTCCACTTCCTTGTTAGTATATCACCTCCCTGTGCCAATATACATGCAGAACTATCATAGCCTAAATTACCCAGTCAACATTCATTAAAGAACATGCTGTAACTGAGACTTTTCACAAACTTTATTATATACTTAAAGTACTACATGTGAAAAAAATACTAGGAAGTACAAATGAAGGCAATACATGGCCTCAGAAAATAATGTGCAAGGTAGCTGTTTTTTACTTTACTATTTGAGTACGCTGAGGTGGGTTTTGTTTTTTTTATAATTTTTGTTTGTTTTTTTTGGTATTGTCTGATTTTTCTACTTTTTAAAAAAATTTCAATTGGTACAGGCTTTGCTCTTCATATATTGTTGATTATGTGGTTGTCTGTGTAAATGATGACTGTGAACAACAGAGATTTTTTAAATTAAAACAAAAGTCAAATTCTTACACAGCAATGTTCGAGGCTATCCAAAGACACTCTCGTAACTTTAACATATTCTGACTATGTACTTCTCACTTTCCTAAAAGTTTGATGACACTTTCTTGCCCACAATTAGCTATGAATTTTGCCTTATAATCCCTACAGAAATACAGCATAAAAAAACCAAGCTGCCTTTGGTCTACAATTCCAGTTGTGTAATATTTGCAAAAATTAACCAGCCAGAGGTCACCCTTTCTTTCCTAGCAAACAAATGAGACCTTGGATATGTCTTTCACATCTTGCATTCTCTTGCAGTTTATGTATGGGGAGCCAAAAATTTTTCCACCTACAGTTGCTGCAGTCTACAACAGATGCAAACAACAGTCGCCTACAAACTTTATTTTACAGCTGGTGTTTCATGCTTGTTTTAAATAAGGAGACTAACATCAGGTTCCAAGATAGAACAGGTCTCCTTAGAATTTATTTATTGAAATACTGCTACTACCTGCCTTTCTAAATGTCAGCCTTTATCCCAAAGTCCATAGGATTTAGGGAAAGTCCCAAGGAGAAGGAAATGAAACAAAAGATTTTTCTTTCAACTATTCTTAAGCAGCTGGCCCTACTGAAAACTATGAACACACTGTATTTTAAGCAATCAAACACCACAAATCAGTCATATTCTTCCACTGCTATGCTACCACAGAAAGGAAGAAGAAATTACTAGCATACAGCATTCATAAATACTACAGGAATTTGCAGATCACAGAGGACTGGAATCAATGATCAACACAAACAGAAAAAAAGTGAATAATGCAGCTCTTCAAACAAGTTCTACTGCTTCCTTAATGCCTTCAGCAGATCTTTTAGGAAAAAGATGAATCTCAGGCTTGTTTTAAATAAGCAAAATCAGTCCTGCCAACAAATTTGTAAATGCTAAGGTAAAAATGCATGGAGAAGAGAATAAAAGCATTTCTGGTATTTATGTGTTCATAAACTGACTTACTTTAGTGGAGATGCAGCTGTAGATTTTGCCTGCCTTTTACTTTTCAGAGCACGAAGCTTATCACCTTGTGTTATACAGTCTGTTTCATCTTCATCACTGTACTGGATAAGACGGAAAAAACCCAAGATTTAAATGTACACACTTAGAAAGAATTAACTTTACTTTAGATCATAAGGTTAGAATTATCCCCAAAAGAAAGGCTGCCAGCATAAAACTGAAAGAAATTCACTTAAATAAATACAGCTCTATTTCCTGTGATGTCACATGAATTGCATGCCTCAAAACGTTCAAACATTGGAAATACATCTCAAATCACTGTTTAGGCACAATTCAACACTCACTTGCCGATTCCCGCAATTATCCACCTCTTAAAAAAAGTAGCACTTTTTTTTCTTTAAAAGTAGACAGCTTCAGAAAGTTGTATAGAAGCTGTAATTATTTCAAAGTTAAAAATAGTGAAAAACTTTTCATTCCTCCCCTCGAAACACAGAAAGTAATACAATAATTTAACTGACTATCCAAAATACACTGACAGAATTTTTGACTGCAAATTTTAAGTTCTAATATTGTTTGTTCTAGTATTTATCTAACTGCAAGATTCAACTAGGATGATAATGCTCCTACCTCACCTATGTACTGCACTTTGTTTTTCAAATCATAATTCCTGTCCATAGCATTTTTATTCCCAAACATCTTGACAGAAAAAAAGGAAAAGAGAAAAAGGAATCTGATAACACAGTTTTAATGTACCCACACGTTTGTTTAGAATCTAAGAAATCCTCAACAGCATTTGCAGTTTTCACAAAAACAAGATATTCAGATGGTTACCAGTTCAGTGTCGTTTTGGATGGCTCTCCTGTTTCTAATACCATTAATCGAAATATGACCTACTCCTGACAGGATTCTTGTTACACCCATTTTACAGTTTCGTCTCAACTTTGCATGGAAAAGATCTCCTTCTCTCCAAAGTTCTGGCTGTTTCCTATCATGGTAAAGAAAAATAACCCAAAAGCCAACAAATTAACAACACAAAATGTAAGGATACAACAAAAAAAGAACAAAAAGTTACAAATCTATTTTCAAAATTACTTGTAGTCAATCTACTTACTCCATTAGGAAATGCTGTTGTGGTCCGATCACTGAACCTGGTCTGTTTATCCTAATCCAGGCAATAGTTTCAGCAGCTGTCATTCGATAATGCTTCATAATATAACAGGCAATAAGTGTGCCAGTTCGTCCAAGACCAGCTGCGTAAGACAAAAAGATGGCTTTTTTTATATGATGTTTTCATCTGGAAGCTGCTGCAGCTACAGACACTGCGATTCAGACAAAAAGTTAAGTGTCTATTCTATTAGATAAACTTGTTGCTGGTAGAACTCTCTAAGTGCAACCTACCTTTTCATTTTTTTCCCTCATACATATAGTTAATAACAGGTTGTTTAAGTGTTTTTAGTATCTGCAAATATATCTATATTTACACACACACAAACAAAAGCATATAGGATGTATATACAAACAGGCATCACAAGTTTTTAGTGGAGGTATAGAACAGCTGTTCAGACAGTTCGCAAAGCACTTTAAGTGCAAATTGATCACAAACTGCAGTAACATCAGTTGCTCTTTTTTTTTGTTCCCAAGGAAAAGCTAAATTTTGCAATAAAGAAGTTTGGGTTCTTGCCACTATGAGAACTACTCTAGAAAACTTTCCTGAAGACACTAGAAATGGAACCATTTACCTTCATAAATGTGAAAAGGAAAGGAAGATAACCAGCCTTGTGGCCTGCTTGATCACTTTCTATACATATCAAATCACATTATTTCATTTAATAATCCACTGAACATCTGTGTAAAATCTTCAGTATAGTCCAACAGACAAGACAACCACACAGCATTTTTTCTGTGCCTTGCCCAGCTTTAAGAACAGGCTAGAGCATTCTACTGTTTCTCAAGAGTTACAGGAGGCTGAGGACTGTAAGGTAGTCTTGACATCATCAGCATGACAAATATCAGAGAATATCTTATTTTGAAGGAACACAAAGCATTTGTACAAAGCATTAAATATAATCAATTAAATAATATGCCTGGATTTCATATCCTGGTAGAGAATGTAAATCTACATGCATGCAATAGTCAAGAAGCTGTCCTGATCATGTCTACAGTATAATCCTATTAAATGTACAGCAAGTGAAGATCCAAAAAAAAAAAAAAAAACGGAGCCTCGGAAGGTCGCAAGCAAATGTTTAAAAAAATACCTTTCTCCTTCAATCATTATCTGGGGTGGAAGGGAAAACAGTTGCTCCAGAACCGCAGAAATCTTTATGCCTCAGAAAGCTACGTTCAAGTTATGCTGGGCATGCTCTCAATAGCTATTCCTTTTGAGTTAGACTGCCAAGGAACAGACATTCAGATACCCAGCACAGCTAGTACTGAGGGTTTCTGAGGGATAAAAATCTGTATGGTTCTGTAGGAACGCTCCAATACTTGATGACTTTTCTCAAAAAGGTCTACTGATATCTTTAAAAATTTATAACTTGGGTGTATTTAATCACGTGTTTTAAGAAATACCTTCCCAGTATTGCAAATTTCAAATCAAAAGAATCTTAGGAAAGTGCTAACACTTTCTAGCAGAAAGAGATGTAAATATTGGCAAGCTTGCATCCAACAACCTCATTCTTGAAATATTAGGAAAGACTACTATGGAACTTAAAAAACGAAAAGACAAAGAGCAAAACAAAAGCACATAAAGAATGTGTGCAGGAAAGCTGCTGCTTGGCAAAGTTGTCAGTAACTAGATGTAATGGAATTACAGAATCATAATGGCACTGTGAAAGGGACCTTAAGGTGAGAAATATCCTAGAAACTGTAACTTGTAATATAAACTGTTTGTACACTGTACCTTTGCAATGAACGGCTATAACACCTTCAGCGTTTTCACAAATACTTAGAAATGCTTTAACGATGGTATCATTAGGTATGCTTCCATCAGCAAAGAAGAGGTCAAAATGCTCAAATCCAGCATCCGTAAAACGTCTGGCATCATACATTTTTTTGTTGAGGCGTATTATAGTGGTGACCTTATGTTTCCTGAAGTATGGGAAATAAGCTTCTGGAGCATGATGGGGATAGCCTATTTGAAAAAAAAGAAAGGGGGCAGAAGGGGGAAGAAGAATGAGCTTCAAACTGCAAAATAAATGAAGACTAAAAACCAACAGATGAAAACACTTTCAAAATAAAACTTATGATAAACATAAAGAAATAGTGTAACTGAGAATGGAATTTTAAAATAATCACCTAGATTAGATGCAATTAAACCAAGCATTAAAATTTTACTGCCAGAGTTCTTATAAAAGAAACAGAGCCAAGGAAAAAACACACTATTTGAGGAACAGTTTTTAAAGCTTTTTCTTACTAGTAGCAACCAACTAAGAAAGCAGTGGGCTTGAGTCCCCAACCTCCTTTTTTAAGCATACCATTTTCAATTTTACTTCTTGAATGAGGTCCACTGAAGGCAATGAATTTGTTTGGTATTATCCAGTTAAAATCTCCATTTTCTGCTCTCTGTCAAGAGAAAATGCTTGGTTTATCATTATCCCTGTATTTTCAGGCTTTTCCTTATTGTTTCAAAATACATGCTAGATAGACGTGATGTAAAATTTTTGTAAAAGAAAGCATTAGTGACCTGCTTTTTGCTTCATCAGGAGGCTGTCACTTGTTTTTAATCTCACTCTTCTTGCTTGTATTTTCCCTTTTCTAAATTACAGTTTCAGAACAATGCCATTGATATGCTTCAGATGAAGAGCAATTTCCAATTCTAAACTTTTTATAGATTTCTAAACTATGATCTTCCTCTTTTTCATTATTTAAATAATGATTTTTTAGATTCTAAGAATACCCAATTTTCTCTTTACAGATAACTAGCAGCGTTGTAATTCTGAGAGTTTATATATTCAGACACCGAGTCCTTTATCTTCATATTAATTTCCTACACCTCAAACAGAATGTTGGGGGCTTCAAGTTTCCCAGTCCTGTCTTCTTTACTTTAAAGAATGGTATTATAATTTTGCTTTGTGTTCACAAATGCATACTTCAATTGCTTTCCAGAAACCAGTTAGACTTAGACCTGTCTGCCCTCAAGTTGACCATCGTAAGAATATGCAAGACATTTTAAAGATGGCCAAGGAACAAATTCCTGCTCCTTCATCATCTTCCAAGGCTTTAATAAAAACATGGGGAAAAAAATATTTATTTTTGTGCTGTTTTCTGCTTTTCCCCATTATGTTTGAGGCTGACTATGCTTAAATCTGACTCTTAATACTCTCTCTCTGATCACTCACCTATGTTTAATAATCACAGTTGAAAAAGGTAAAAAAGAAATGGAACATAATACTACAGACAAATAGCACATATTATAAACAATCATACTGGCATTAATAATAGCAAACTAATCAGAAGACTAATACACGTACCTCATAATGCTCATATTCATTTACATCAAATTCATCAAAATCCAGAAAACCATACTGCAAAGCCTAAAATCCAGAATACAACTTTTAACAAAAATAGCATCTTCTCAGTGAGGACAGTTAATTTCTCTTTCAGGTTACCGAATGCCTCTTATTACTTGCTCTATCTTTTCAGAAGAATTTCTTAATTCATTTGAAAAAATACACAACAGCTGAGTCTTGGTACAAAACAGGAAAAGACTGATTTGTAAATTATAATAGAAGTGAGGTTAGATGAGGAAGTCTTTCTGTTTCCACCGAATTCGTACTTTATAAGTGCGCTGTCTTTTTATTACTGCTAGTAATAAGATATGCCAAAGAGAAAAATAAGTGGCAAACATTACCTACTTAAATTATGGGTATATTCTGAAGTCTATATTCAAAGATAAATATTTTGGTGTATGGATGCTATTCTATTAAGATTCTAATACCTTCACTAGTTAAGAACTGGCTGCAGATAGACTAAGCCTACAGTTCTAAAGAGAAATCAGTGTGGTCCTTAATGCTCCTTATTATCTACAGCCATTATATTTAACACAGTATACAAATGTAAACTTTCTGGTAACTGGCAGTTTATCACTTATTAAGTCAGAAAGAGCAAATGCAGACAATCTCATAACATCACATATTTTGAATATTAAATTCAAATCTCCCCTCATACTGCATAGCCCGTTGTGGTTTTCCTTGCTGTTCACCAGTATTGAAAAGAATAGCAATTCACTCCTCTTGGCAAAGGAGCAGCCAATGTCGGAACACAGAAAAATACCTGAAAAATCTCAAAACTACAAGAAGTTGGCTTATGCAATAGAAACAACAGTATTTGGCAGAGACACTCACAATGAAAAAAAAAAAAAACAGTAATGGAGAATGGAGAGCCACAGAATTCCCCTCTTCAATATTCACATGAAAAAGAATGCATTCAAGTTCTCCTTGTTCTAAAATGACACATTAGTCACCACTGTACTGCTGTAAGACACTAGGATATAATAATTTGCGATTAAAAAAAAATCAGCTTGTAACATTGTTGCATTTATAATATTGAAGCAAAACTTCAAGTTACAATTACATACTAAAAATGCCTAAAAAGCATCAATAAACAATTCAAAACCACTTTCAAAGGCAACAGTGGATCATCTGATAAAACTGCTGGGGAGTTCTTAGGGATGAGAGGTACAAATGACTGTCCTGAAATGATTAACTAAACAGAAGTCAACATTTCCCCTTTAGAAACTTTTCTAGTTGACTACACATGGCAGAAGTTCACTTCTAGGGATGTTCCACCCAGAAGTTTTGTTACAATGCATAATACATAATAAGCTGGTAACAATCAGAAAATGTGCTGTAATTGTAACTGTAACTTATTAGCTCCTAGCTTTCAAAGGCTTCTTTTTCTGATGGGCAGCAATTAGCTGATGTTTCACGCTAAAAAAATACTGTTTAACTTACCTTGCTTATTGCATGAAAACAATCCAGCAAAGTTAGATGAAAACTGCAAGTACCAAATGAAGCATCCCTGTAACATAAGATGATCAAAACAGTAAAACTTTCCCATTTAAATCCCATTTAAATTTCTCTATATTTCTCTAAAGCAACATTAGAAGATAAATATAATTTCTAGTATAGCAAAATATTGGTTAAACAATTACTTAATTTCCCCCCCTTGTATCTCATAATAACAACACAGAAAATACTCCAGTTATATCTTTTGTTCAATGTAACATATTCAATGTGCATGTCAACAAAGAACAGAAATACGTGAAAAATAACAGAAACTCCCTATGGCAAAAACTAATGCATAAAGAACAATCACACTGTAACATACAATCTTAAAACATTTCTATCTGAAGTTCACTTTCAAAAACATCAAATTGTAATACACTGCAATTTTCTTCTTCAAATTCCATTTAAAGAAAAAAGACACTTCACAAATGCATTTTTTAATATATGGGAACAGTATCTTCTTGAAAAAACTGTCAAGATACACATTTGTATGGATATGCTAAAAGACAAGATGCATAGAATAGTTAATGGTTAAACTTGAGAAACTGGTTTTCATCACAACTCTTTCAGCTACTTTTTTCTTAAATCTTCTTGATGCAAAAATAGCATGTTCTCAGTATATAACCATTACTAGACTCCATAAGCACAGTCAAATAAGCATTCTACAGGAATACTTCAGTCACGTAAAAAATAAACAGAATCAATATCAGATGCTATTTTATCTTGTCAGAACATTCTTCATACTTCTGAAAACATGCAGCTCATCAGAATACGGGGGATCATTACTGCTACATTAAAGTAAGAAACAGACCATCTTCAAACTCAAATTGAAAGGAGGAAGAAGTTCTGAAGAACCTGAACATCTGCCTCTGCACTTTATTTCTATTCTTTTCTCCCTAATGAGTGTGAAGGTGAAAAAAAAAATCTGCAGGAGACAGTGATAACAGAACACAGTTCAAATAAGTGGAAAGCATTCTCTGCATGCTGTTAAAAAGTTTTCCTCTTGGTAATGACCAGAAGTACCAACTATCCTAACTTTCTGTTATTCTGTTGAAAGGCAAAGCTTTTTGCAGAGATGAAGATGAAAGAGTAATCTGAATTCAATAGCAAGTTCTGCTGAATTCAAGAAAATGGAAAAATTCCCAGACACTTCAGCATGTTGTATGTATTATACTGGAGACTAGACATGTTTTCAGAAGTCAGTTTTCAGTAATTCTTGTTATATAACATGTATTTGCATTTTTTTCTCAGTAGAGCTGTCAAAGCAATCATCTGAGGATTTGGGCATGGTGTATGACCTGAGTGAACAGATGCTATCACGTACATCTTCAGAATTTTTAGAAACACAGGGGTCTTAAAAGAGGCCTTTTTATTTCTGGAAATATACAAAAAAGGAATTAAAAAGACAAATGGGATGATGGAAGTATGAAAGTAAAGACAGGTACTACTACACACTTTTACTATGAAGAAGTAAAGGAAATTCAAATCATCAAAAGCCCAGCCCTTGGACAGGAGCTAGAAAACACAAACAAGCAAGGACTGAATTAATCACCAGCAACCAGACAGCAAACTTCTAAAAAGTTTTCTGGCCACCCTCTTCTGCATACTGAGGCAGCCAGTGGAATGTTAGTTTGATCCAACTTTTAGGAACACTCCTTTGAAGAATTTATTAAATTTTTTTCTATGCACGGTGGATCAACCTTATTTGGTAAATTAAGCTGCACAGCATAAACCACAAAGAAAAGGCTAGGATTACATTCCCTTAGGGTCAAGCAACAACAAACCAGTGGTTTAATATATTTCCTCATTGGTAAAAATAAATACTTCAAAGTTACACTAAATCACAAGAGGCTAGGTAGCATTCTTTAGGCACAAAATAGTATTTGTAGTTTGCTTCATACATTTGCTAATTGAAATAAAAATGAGTGCAAGAAGTATTGTAAGTCTTGTGTGATTACTGGAAGATATTTTGACTTTTAACTGTCAACTACTAGCATAAAAGCAATGTCAAGTGGAAAGCAATGTAGATCAAAAAGCTCAACGAAGAATATATAATATACAGTGTGGCTTCTTCACCTTTCGCACTGGTACACTTCAGAACCAGATGCCAAGCCCCCTGTTAAGTTTGCAGTCAAAATCAAGCTGTGCCCTTTTAAACTATAGCAACAACAACAACAACAGCAACAAAACAACAAAGCGAAATGGAAAAAAAAAAAAGTAGTATTGCTAAATGCTATACTCTTCTTCAAAATATCAAGCTACAGAAAGTTATAATATTATTATTTACCTGAAAGGAAGATATGAAACACTGCCAGCCAAAACAAGCTTGTACACATCTTCTGGTGATTCTTTCAGATATATTATCTGTTTTTATGGGAAAAGAGAGAAAAACTATCTTAAGATTCAAAGAAATAACTTAAAGTCACTTCTTTACTACAGAAAACATAAGTATCACGGAGTTCAAAAGCAATGCGAAAGACTGTCATGAAGAGCAAAAGAATACAAGCGTGCAACAACAAAATCAAGCAAAACAATAAAAAATATTGGTAAACCATGAACATATATTCTTAAGCAAAATGTACAGGTTTGTCAAATTTCATTTATTTTAGACTAATGTGAAGATACTGGCAAACGTATGAATTATCTGTTCTACAAAACAGTACATGTGCTCAGAAGATAAGATTAAAATAATAACTTGTAAATGTTTTGATTTTCCTACAGCAGTATATTTGCACTATTCTAAATCCCAAACTTCCTCCTTCATACTGGCGAAGCAGTGTACAGTAATTAAATCCAGATGTCATAAAGGAAAAACAATAATCCACAGTTCCAGAAGTAAAATCCTAAGAATAGAATGAATACACTTGAAACAGTCCAAATAAAACTTTTCACTCTCAAAACCTCTCAAAAAAAGATAAAAATCATGAATGCCACCTAATGACATGTATATCAATGGCCTTCCCTCATGAAATACCTGATCACTCTTGTATATCCTCTAACAGTAAGGTCTGCTTAGGAAATATTGCATAGCTCTTTTATTATGCAAATCACATCTTCCAGTAATCAAGAAATATCCCTCATGTGGCCAGGAGAAAATAACTGTTAATAACAAAGCAGTCATTATCAGGTTCAATAATTTCATCTTAATATTTTTTCTTTAGAACTGCATTAACTAAGCATTAAAACACTTCAGGAAGTTACTGTTTCATTAAAGTTCCATGAATTTATTTACACCTCCTAAATAAATGAATTTTTTTGTTACAGTTTTTCTTTTATGTAGAAATCCTCATAAGTACTAATTAAATATCTACCTATGACTAGGATACAGGACTTGAAAGTATACTAAATAAACTTGCAGATGACACTAAACTGGGAGGAGTGGTTGAATCCCTCGAGGGTAGAGGGGTGTCCTGCAGAGATCTTGCTAAATCTGAGGGCTGGACAATCACCATAAGTGGAGCAGGTGCTGACTTCTGCAGCTGGGATAGGGAAATCCAAGATATATATTCAGACTGGAATGAGGAGAGCAGCCCCATGTGTAAGGATCGGAAGGCTATGGCTGACAGCAAGTTGTACATGAGGCAGCAGTGTGTCCTGGCAGCCCAAGGGTCCAAATGTACCTGGGGTGCACCAGGCCCAGTACCGCCAGCTGGCGAGGGGAGGGGCTGTCCTGTGCTGTGCAGCCTCACCTCCAGCACCAGGTGCAGCTTTGGGTGCCACAACACAAGAAACACATAAAACTATTAGTGAGTGTTCAAAGGACGACTATGAATGATGGCAAGGGGTCTCAGGGCAAGTGGTACAAGGAACCAGCTGAGGTCTCTGCATGCATTCAGCCCAGAGCAGGGCAGGCTGAGGGGAGGCCTGATGGCAGCTGCAGCTCCTCACAGAGAGCGGAGGGGCAGCGCTGAGATCTGCCGGGCCGAGGGAACGGCATGGAGCTGTGTCAGGGGAGGGGCAGCTGGGGCTTAGGGACAGTTCTGCACTTGCATGGAGCAGGCTGCGCAGGACAGTGGGCACGGCCCCTGGCTGCTGGAGTTCAAGGAGTTAGGGGTAAAAGCATCCTAGCCCAGGAACTGGCGGGCCTCACTGAAAGGTCTTCAAACTAGATAAGAAGGGGAAGGGGACAAAATGAGGGCCACTGAGGTTGAGTGGGTAGTTCGAGGCTCAAAACAGAGCTTGATGGGTGATGAAGGTGGAATTCGAAGGGATGGACTGTGGCAGGGGGATGCTGCTTCCCTAAAGTGTCTGTACACTAATGTGCGCAGTATGGGAAATAAACAGGAAGAGTTGGAGGTCTGTGTGTGGTCACGTGGCTACGATCTCATTGCAATCACAGAGACGTGGTGGGACAGATTGCATGACTGGAATGCTGTCATGGAGGACTATGTGCTTTTTAGGAAAGATCGGCTGGCGAGGCAGGGTGGTGGAGTTGCTCTTTACGTGAGAGAGCAGCTAGAACGTACTGAACTCCCCCTGGGGGACATGGTATAGCAGTGGAGAGCTTGTGGGTGAGTTAGAAGGTAAGGGGGCCTGTGGAAGCTGGTCTGCATTTAAACAGGTCTTCTTCCAAGCTCAGGAAATCAGGAAAGGTTGGCAGGAGACCTGCATGGATGAGCAAGGAGCTCGTGCACAAACTCAAAGGGAAGAAGAAGGTCCATGAAATGTGGAAAAAGCGTCTGACCGCTTGGGAAGAATACAGAAATGTTGTCAGGGCCTGCAGGGATGCGACGAGGAAGGCTAAAGCCCGCCTGGAATTGAATCTGGCAAAGGTGATAAAGGATAATAAAAAAGGCTTTTTAAAGTATGTTAACAGTAAAAGGAAGACTAGGGAGAATGTGGCTCCCCTACTAAGTGAGAGGGATGTTCTGGTAACAGGGGATGCTGAGAAGGCGGAGATACTTTGCTTCTGTCTTCAGTGAAAAAGCTCTCCTTCTGGAATCCTAGACCCTGGAGGTTAGTGAGAGGGTCTGGGGAATGGAAGACTTCCCTTTAGTCAGGGAAGAGGCGGCCTGAGAGCGCCTAGGCAACACCAGTGTTCATAAATCCATGGGACCCGATGGGGTGCATCCACAGGTGCTGAGGGAGCCGGCAGAGGTGACTGCTGAACCGCTTTCTGTCATCTTTTAGAGGTCTTGGAGAATGGGGGAGATACCTGAAGACTGGAGGATAGCCAATGTCACTCCCATCTTCAAAAAGGGCAGGAAGGAAGATCCAGGTAATTACAGGCCAGTGAGCCCCACCTCCGTCCCTGGAAAGGTGATGGAACAGCTTGTGCTGGATGCCATCTCCAGACAGCTGAAGAAAAGGTTATCAGGAGTAGTCAGCATGGGTTCACCAGGGGAAGGTCATGCTTGACCAACCTGGTAGCCTTCTATGATGTTGTCACTGGCTGGGTGGATGGGGGGAGAGCAGTGGATGCAGTCTACCTTGATTTCAGCAAGGCATTTGATACTGTCTCCCAGGACATCCTTATAGCAAAGCTGAGGAAGTGTGGGATGGATGAGTGGACAGTGAGGTGGGTTGAGAATTGGCTGACTGGCAGAGCACAGAGGGTTGTTGTTGGCAGTGCAGAGTCTGGTTGGAGACCTGTAACCAGCGGTGTTCCTTAGGGGTCGTGCTGGGTCCAGTCTTGTTCAACATCTTCATCAATGATCTTGATGAGGAGATAGTGGCCACCCTCAGCAAGTTTGCTGATAATACAAAGTTGGGAGGATTGGCTGACACACCCGAAGGCTGTGCTGCCATTCAGCAAGACCTGGACAGGCTGGAGAGCTGGGCAGTAAGAAAACAGATGAGGTTTAACAAAAGCAAGTGTAGAGTCTTGCACCTAGGGAGGAATAATTCCATGCACCGGTACAGGTTGGGGGATGACCTGCTGAAGAGGAGCTCTGCGGAGAGGGACCTGGGTGTCCTGGTGGACGACAGGTTGGCCATGAGCCAGCAGTGTGCCCTTGTGGCCAAGAGGGCCAACGGCATTCTGGGGTGCATTAAAAAGAGCATGGCCAGCAGGTCAAGGGAGGAGGTCCTCCCCCTCTACTCTGCCCTGGTAAGGCCTCATCTGGAGTACTGTGTCCAGTTCTGGGCTCCCCAGTACTAAAAAGACAGGGATCTCTTGGAAAGAGTCCAGCGGAGGGCCACAAAGATGGTGAAGGGCCTGGAGCATCTCCCCTATGAAGAAAGGCTAAGTGAACTGGGTCTGTTTAGCCTTGAGAAAAGAAGACTAAGAGGGGACCTGATCCAGGTCTATAAATATCTAAGGTGTGGGGGGCAGAGCGGCGAGGCCAGACTCTTTTCAGCAGTGTGTGGAGACAGGACAAGGCCAGAAACCGGAGCATAGGAAGTTCCGCACAAATGTGCACAAGAACTTCTTTACGGTGAGGTGACGGAGCACTGGAACAGGCTGCCCAGGGAGGTTGTGGAGTCTCCTCCGGAGATATTCAAGACCCGCCTGGACGCCTACCTCTGCGATCTGGTGTAGGGAAACTGCTTTGGCAGGGGGGTTGGACTCGATGATCTCTGGAGGTCCCTTCCAACCCCTACAATTCTGTGACTCTGTGTATTTGGACATCAGTCCCACGTATAAGGTTTAGATTTTGGGTGCTGCTGGGATGAGCCAGGGGTTGGACTCAATGGTCTTTGTGGGTGCTTTCCAATTCAGGAAGGATATCCCATGACTTTATGATTTGAATTACCCACAAAAAACGTACATAATTTTTGCTCTTAGGGTTTTTTGTTGTTGTTGCTGTTGTTTTGTTTTGTTTTTTTTTTTAAAGTTGGCATTGCTATACAGATTTCTTTCTTTTTGCTGCTGCAAAATCAATTTGAACAAATGGTCTAATTTTATGTTGGCAACATCTTCTCTACACACACGCATGCACACACACACACACAAGCATTCCTGAGAATCAGAATGGGAGGTGGAAGAGATATTGCCAAAAAAATAAAAGCTTGAAATATATTTTCAACAGTGCTGCCAGGCTGGATAATACAGAGCAATTCTTGTACAACAGGCAAACAGAAAGACAGTTAACTTTAGCTAATTCTTTAAGCACCTGTAGCTCAAAGGAAAAGGACTCCTCTCACATTTCAATGGAGCTTTTACCATCTTCTTGAATAATACAGGCTTCAGTACAAAAGCACGTTTGCAAATGTAACAGCAGCAAAAGGAAGTTTTTGTTGCCGTAAAAGACATGTTACAATAAATTAAGTCTAGATGACACCACATGATATTGAAACAGGTTAGTCCTTAATTCTGAAAGGACATTACTAGTGAAGAAGCACATCTGAGTGGATATTCCTCGACATAGTTACATGAACATTCACCACAGACAAGCACATTTAAGAAAGCCAAAGTGATTTTC